TATTTATTTACTTATTTGTCCTTACAACGAAGGATTTTTTTTATATATGGTATTTTGCTGAGTGGTGTACTGACGTAAATGCTCTTATATATTTTGTGATAACTAACGAAGCTGTGGTATATATATATATATATATATATATATATATATATATATATATATATATATATATATATGTAGATAGATAGATATATACATATACAGCCAATGCACATCCTGAGATTAAGATTATGTGATACCCAGAGTTTTACGTCAACGAAAATGAGAAGAATGAGAAGAACAAGGTTTGAGCGAACAAGAAAAGGGAGAAAGTACGAAAGAGGAGAGAGACGAACCAAAGGATGTAAAGGAATTGAAGGGAGATAATCTACAATAACAACAACAAAGAAACTGAAACAAGGAATTACGATAATAATAATGATGGTAGCATTGGTGATAACGATTGTCATTATCATAATGGTGATGATAATAACAGCGATGATATTTATTAATTTTGATAATAAGGATACAGGCATCATGACAATCTTCATTGTCATCATCATCTTCATCATCATCATGATCACCATCATCATTATCATCATCATCACCATCATTATCATCATCATCACCATCATCATCATCATCTTCACCATCATCATCATCATCTTCATCATCATCATCATCATCATCTTCATTATCATCATCTTCTTCATCATCATCATCGGCATCTTCATCTTCATTTTCATCTTCATCTCATCTTCATCTTCATCTTCATCGTCAATATCATCTTCATCTTCATCTTCATCTTCATCTTCAACTTCATCTTCATCGTCATCTTCATCTTCATCTTCATCTTCATCTTCATCTTCATCTTCATCATCATCTTCATCTTCATCTTCATCGTCATCTTCATCTTCATCTTCATCTTCATCATCATCTTCATCTTCATCTTCATCTTCATCTTCATCTTCATCTTCATCTTCATCTTCATCTTCATCTTCATCTTCATCTTCATCTTCATCATCTTCATTATATTATATTTCTGATACTAGTCTTTGATTATGTATTTTCTCGTAATTCACTTATGTCCTGTACCCAGTTTCCGTTGTGTGTGAAATTTACGTCATTTCCGTGGTTTTCTAATTAAGAAAAAAAAATCTGTACTACAATAATAATAGAAAAAAGTCACAGAGGGAATTATGTGTAGAAACATGACAAAACATATTATGAATGAACAAAAATAGAGCAATATGAAACAGGAGAGTAAAAAGTGAATAGCATGTTTCAACCAACAAAATCGATTGATTGTAGGAAATCTGATAGAATGTATATAGACGTCCACAATGAAACACATTTATGTTGAAAAGGAATCAAGCACAATGATAAAAACAGTAATATATTTCTACAGGAAGATGTGCAGGTATATCATTACTTATAGGCCTATAGTCTAAAACCCTATAAATAAAGAAAGAAGTATATCATTACTTATCAAATTTCTCAAAGGACTGTCTACATTCCATTGCATATGAATAAAGTATACTATCAATTAAACCCACAATAACGCTATCAAACCGATTTAATTATAATATAGTTGATAATTGAGGAAGGAAGGAAGATGTGCAGGTATATCATTACTTATCAAATTTCTCAAAAGACTGTCTACTAAGGCGCAGAATACTACATTCCATTAGAATTGAACAAAATATACTATCAATTGAACCCACAATTCCGCTATCAAACCGATTAAATTATAATATAGTTGATAACTGAGGCATTTAATTAATTCATTGCGCAAGGCGATGCTCACGCTTCCTGCCAATCGGGTTTGTTTACAGTGAAAAGAAGGTTGGGTCGAGTTCCTCATGTTTTCTCACGCGAATATGACCCTCTTTGACTAATTATACGTGAAAGTGGTTGTTTTTGAGGTGAGTGAGATGACTTGAGACTCATTTGGTGTAGGATATTAGGGGGAATTTGGGGAAATAAGGCCGAGTTAAGGGTTAAAATGGGCGGTTTTCCTTCCCGATTCTCGACTGTTGGGTGGGGAGAGGCGGGGTCCTTTTTGACATTTCGGAGGTTTCCTTTTCCATTTTCCTTTTTCACGAACTTTACTTCCTTCTTTTACTTTATATAAGATTTACAGAAGGAGTAGGTTGCCATGGGGATCGCTATGAACTTCCAGGTGGACGGGAAACATGGGAGGAACTGGAAGTTGGATTGAAGTTTCAAGTTGTGAGTCATTCTCAGGTCATTTAACATCAACCAATTGTATTGTTTTATCTAGTTTCATTATAGTCATGTGTTTTAGTTCTAGAAGATAAGAATTATCAACTCTCTATTTGGGAATGGGTAGAAGTGGTGATGGCACTGGAAAATAGTTAAGAAAATCGGGAAGTAAAGGAGCCATTACCCTTAACTGATTGGTTTTTAGAACTGTTCTGAAGTTGATAAAGTAGATTGTAAATACTGTACATCGGAATTAAGAAGTTGTATAATCTGATATATCTTGCTTTAAAAATTTGCATTTTTTTGTAACAAAATAGATATTGCTTTTATAGATTTAGCAGTCTTGTATTCAGGCCAAGTTTCGTAGTTACAATGGTGTGATATATTATTTTATGATGGCTAACGAGGTAATTCAATATGAAAAGGAAACATATATCATGTATATCCATACATTTTGAATATGTATGATTGCTTGTAGGTACTACTATTGTTAGAATTTTCCATCAGCATTAATATCACCATTGTTATAGGTATTAATATTATTGTTATAGTTTTTTATCATTGTTATTATTATCATTATTATTATCTTTATCAACATTATTGATACTGATAAGGATAATTGATAAAGGTAATTTTCAAGAAGCAGTCTCTGCAGTAAAATCCATAAAATTTGTTATCATTGGATTTCTCATGATCTTTAGTATGCATTTACAGTGATTTAAGTCGGTGCTAGGGAGTAGTAGTAGTGACAGTGCTAGACATGGTATGTGGGGAGGGCATGTGGTATGATCAGGGAATAGCATGCTTAGATTGTACTGTATATATGTATTTTTGTCATATAGCCCCCATAAAACCTCTTGTGGGGAAATGCCATCCCCAAACCCCTGCCCTCTAATACAAAATCTCTACCTCATCTAACCAACCTTTTGGATCCCGAACAGGTCCGAGTGAATGACATCACGTTCCGCTAGGTAACTATCCTTTTGCCATGTGCTCAGTCCTGAGGTATTGTGCAAGTTATGGGAATTTTCCAACATTCATATTGTGCTTGTATATTATTTCTGTTGACTGTTTAAGTTATATTGATTTAGTAAACAACAATTGGAGTCCATTGATACCACCAAATTTGATGTTTTTTTAACAAATGGACATCTTTTAGAAAATAATATATATAATATATAATTGTTCTTACGGTGAAGATTATGATTGTCAGCCTTCTTTTTATATTCTAATATAATAAACTAGCCAACATTTCTGTATTTACATATTGTTATGATCAATAGCTATACTATTGTTGTCACTGTTGTTATCATCATTATTATTATTGTTATTGTTATTGTTTTTTGTTTTTTTTCATCATCATCTTCATCTTCATCTTCATCTTCATCTTCATCTTCATCTTCATCTTCATCTTCATCTTCATCTTCATCTTCATCTTCATCTTCATCTTCATCTTCATCTTCATCTTCATCTTCATCATCATCATCATCATCATCATCATCATCATCGTCATCATCATTAATACTTATGATAACTGTTATTATTATTTTATTATTTTTAACATTATTGTTATTGATATTTTTGTAATTGTTGTTATTATTCTTGTTGTTGTTGTTATTATTATTATTATTATTATTATTATTATTATTTTTATTATTATTATTATTATTATTATTATTATTATTATTATTATTATTATTATTATTATTATTATTATTATTATTATTATTATTATTATTGTTGTTGTTGTTGTTGTTTTGTTGTTCTTATTGTTATTATTATTGATAATAATATTGATGTTCTTATTAATATTGCTTCAAGTGGATTTCCATAAAATATAGTTAATATCATTGTATTATAAACAGGTGTGGTGATAGTCATTCATTGAATGCTGATATATTCTTGAATATGATATATATAGGCTTATATATAAGTACACACACACACACACACACACACACACACACACACACACACACACACACACACACACACACACACACACACACACACACACACACACACATAGACACACACACATAGACACACACACACACACATACACACACACACACACACACACACACACACACACACACACACACACACACACACACACACACACACACACACACACACACACATAGACACACACACAGACACACACACAGACACACACACACACGCACACACACGCACACACACACACACACACACACACACACACACACACACACACACACACACACACACACACACACACACACACACTCACACACACACACACACACACACACACACACACACACACACACACACACACACACACACACACACACACACACACACACATACACACATACACACATAGACACACACACACATACACACATAGACACACACACACACACATAGACACACACACACACACACACACACACACACACACACACACACACACACACACACACACACACACACATAGACACACACACATAGACACACACATAGACACACACACATAGACACACAGACACACACATAGACACACACAAACACACACACATAGACACACACACATAGACACACACACACACACATAGACACACACAAACACACACACATAGACACACACACACACACATAGACACACACACACACACACATAGACACACACACACACACACACACATAGACACACACACACACACACACACACACACACACACACACACACACACACACACACACACACACACACACACACACACACACACACACACACACACACACATAGACACACACACACATAGACACACATAGACATACACACACACACACACACTCACACACACACACACACACACACACACACACACACACACACACACACACACACACACACACACACACACACACACACACACACACAGATATATACGCACTCATATGTATGCATGCCAAGACACATATGGCAAAAATGATATCCAAGATAGTAACAAAACCTTTTTAGAAACAAATTAACAAGATGCAGTTCATAATGAAATAGCACATGGCTAATGGCCCTACATATTGACTCAGTAGCAGATAGATGTTCAGACATAAACTATACATTCCTCATAGCTGTCATCTGTAGTGGCCACTCAAAATATGCCTGTTTGTGGGCTTGCAGCTATGTCAAGCCTGTCTCAGAAGGGTTAAGAATCTATAATATGTATATTTAGGGTCTGAATATATCGTATCCTCAGCCTGATCCAGTTTACTTATCTTTTATAATCAGTTTAACATGATGTGGTACATTGTACAAATTAGGACAGGACAAAATGTCTTTTTGGAATGATTCATATAACTTTTTTAGTATGAAATAGGCAAATAGGTTGATTGAGAGTGAACTGGTCATAATTTTGGTCTTGCCCTTATTATTGTTAGTTAGTTTGGATTGGATTCATTCTCCTTTATTATGCTGAAGGAAGACATTGGGGAACTACCTCCATATCATCATCCCTTTTGGAACCATGATCTTTCCAAGACATGGTTGCCAATGTCAGACAGATATGGCACTTCAAGGAAAAGATTTGAGAAGCTCTTTTAAACTCCATTATTTCTGATATCAAATTCATTTGCTGATCTTAATTATTGCATATCCTTTGTGGTTTTGGCTATAGATACATTTTAGGGATAAGGAAAATTTACACAGTTTACTTAGAAGAGGTGAGTGGTTGTGGTACATGCAGTGATAGTGTTTACCATTAATTATGATTAGTTCTGCCATTTGGGTAGATTTGATTTTTTTTTTCTATTTTGCATATTGTATTCTTTTCTAATTTTACCAAGTAAAAGCTGTTGGTGGTAACTGCTAAAACAATTATCTCTGTGCCAGTTCTGAAACTGTTTAGCACTCACAGCTTAGAACAGGCTCTGCCACGTATAATTTGAATGGATTCATCCTGATATGAGTGATGGTCTAGCCATGAGTGAGTTCAGATATGAATAGAAAATGTGTGTTAATTAAGTATGTTTTTAGTGTTGTATGTCCATAACAATACCATGTTAAAATTCCTTTTATGGTGTTACAGGAATTATTTATTTTCATTTTCTTGTATCATCAGTTTACTTTCCCGCAAGTACCATTTTCTTGTAAACATTTGCCTTAAATTGCCATATATGAATACAGTAGAGAAAAACATTGCAATATCAGGACAAATTGATTAACATTACAAATAGATTGTCCTTGGCCTGGCAAATAGAGCTATACGAAGTGATGTTTGTAAGGTGTTACCTTGAAATTTTATACTAGAGTAACAGTTAGTTTCCATTTATTTATGAAGTAGAGAATTGATGTGAACTTATGTAATTAGATGTTTATTTTTGCCTTAATTTCATAAGTACTTCAGTATTCCTATCTCAGTTTCTGTGAAAATATAAAACAGTGATTTTCCAAGAGGTACCACGCCAGTCTGAATAAGAGGAACTCAGATCATGCTTTTAAGAAATGAAAGTACATTATTATTGTCCTTTTGCTCTGAACATCTTGTTCAATAGGACTTTTTATACCCATCTTGTCAGTGGGTACAGTGCAGAGGCAGCTTAGACTTGCAAGGTGGAATTTTAGTGTTTATAAGACATTATACAATACTGTACTAAAAGTACCTAATATGTGTTTTTATATATAGCTGTCTTAAGATCTTAACTGCACAAGGAGATTTCTATAGAAACTATGCCCAATGAAGGACTTTCTTTTTATTGCTGTTTTTTTTTTTCTTTCTTTCTTTCTTTCTTTCTTTCTTACTTTAGCATGACTTGCAGTGAAATGCCTTAATTAATGATTAGCTGTGACACATGTACAGGCATTGCTAGATAAGTACTGTGATTGTAGATTTGTAATTTATTCCAAAATTGGTTGCATTTCAGCCACGTAAACATTTGTAGATAATTTTCATCATATGCCTCTTGTGGCTTTAGCTTTTAAAGCCTTTAGTAAGTGTAGTTGAGATTAAATGCACAGCCTTTTCTGTACTATGCAAGAGAATAAGGAAAATAAATGGAGAGGGTGAGAGAGTGAGTGAGTCTGCTCATTTTTTTATGGTTATTATCATTATTATCTTGATTGTGTGTCCACGTAGAAAGTCTCAAAAGACTGTGTTCCCTGAGAGTAGCATGCATTCCACTCTTGAGGCAAAACTTGCACCAGTCACAACTGTAGATGACAGTCATGCTACATAAGCCTAAGTGATTCTTGAGTTCATGAACTTTCGCTGCCGCAAGTTCATCCCAACAAGTGTGTTTGTTGGACATGAAGAGAATGAAGAAGAGGGTGCGGCAAACTCTCACAAACTTCATGGCCAAGAACACAAGAAGGTTGGTCTTTTTTGAACTGCTTCCTTATTTATAAGCTCATGTTTCTAAAGAGTTGCACATTTATCAGCTGTTTTTCCATGCATATTTTTTACCCCTTTTTTCCCCCCTTTGTTTCTTTGGTTCTTTTTCAGTCTCTTTTTTTCATGGGAGTACAGAAAAATTACAAGTCATATGACCAAAGTAAAACAGCTGATTGTCAGAAGTTGCTGTCATGAAATGATTTTCATCATGGCGTGATTCTGGTATGCAAGCAAATTGATGGAAAATGTACATTGTTTGTGAAATGAATTACAAGCCCCCAATAACATAGTTGCAAAGTGTATAAAAATATTGTCATACTTATATTTTTGGCTCTAAATCCTTTTTCTCAGACAAAAATATTGATTGTTAAAACTACACATACATAAAATTACCATTGAAGGAAAATATGTTCAAGCTGTAGGACTGGGAAATGTCTCTTGAAAAGTTGATACCCAGACCTTCTGCAGCAATATATTTTCAAAATAAAAACACTGTTTGGGATCATAAGAAATTTTTATCTATGTGTGTGTATCAATAGAACTATTTTTTTTTATTTTTTTTTTTTGTTTAGTTTGTTCTCTGAAAGGGAAAGATGATCAGTGACATTTGTTAGGAATGTTTCAGCTGTTATATCTAGTAAAGTTATTTTGATGATATTAAAGTATATATATTTCTATACAAGAAATGAAGCATTGAAGCTAGCTCTTTATTTGCTGCATCCAAAATTATAGATCAATATGTTTACTCTTGATTTTCTATTTAATGGTATCATTGCTTCTTATCAAACTTATCTTTATTCTCCTTATTTATTTACTTTTCTGTTTATAATTTTTTTTTTTCCAGAATGCACTTAGTATGTTGAGTTTTGCGAGTATGTTTAAACGTGGTTGTGAAATGTTCATAGGCTTTTAGTAGCACTGCTTTTTTTTTCTTTTTCTTTTTCTTTCCTTTTTATTGAAGTTTGAATTGACTCCTGGACATTCTATTTTACTTATGAACTTGTTTATTTGCTTAGTTATTTGCTAGATAGTGTCTTCACTTTTTTTCTTCATTTGCTGATTATATTTCTTGCCTTTTATTCCATTGCAGTTATGATGCTTGTAACTGTTGTTGGGATGTATGCTTTTTTCATTTTCTTTTTTTTTTTTTTTTCTTTTTTTTCTTTTTTTTTTTTCTTCAACTTACATTAAGAAGTTCATACAGCTTTGCTAAAATCACAGAAATTTTAGTCAGTATACCTCAGAGTTATATCTTCTGTTATATCTCATATTACCAATAGTGTGATGCTGGATTATCTCCATTGAGATGAGTAGCAGTTACCCCCAAATAGCAAGGTGCTCGGCTTGTCACGTGTATTTAGTATGCGCAAGATATGTAATTGGCATTTAATATCGCATCATATTGTGAGAATTATTTTTTTCATTCATGTATCTAGGCCCTGTGAATATCCTGAAGTAGGATTTTATGTCCAGACAAAAAAAATGACAAAAGGTTTCATTTGGCAGAATTATTATGGAAATTGACTTGTACTTTGATTTTTTTTTTCTTCTTTTTATTATACGAGCTGACAATGGCTTTTTTTTTTTTTTTTTTTTCATAGAATATTTTGGTAGTAGTATGCCATGATGAAGTTTGGCAATGAATTGACTCTCATTATAGATTTTCTCTTGTGAGATTTAGGTGTGAAGTCTGCAAGTGCACCAAATTTCCTGAATTCGTTAAAATATTTTGGTAGTAGTATGCCATGATGAAGTTTGGCAATGAATTGACTCTCATTATAGATTTTCTCTTGTGAGATTTAGGTGTGAAGTCTGCAAGTGCACCAAATTTCCTGAATTTTCGTTATGAACTTACGTACACTACATTACATGTGATGTTTTTTTTTTTTTTTTTTTTTTTTTTTTTTTCATAGAATATTTTGGTAGTAGTATGCCATGATGAAGTTTGGCAATGAATTGACTCTCATTATAGATTTTCTCTTGTGAGATTTAGGTGTGAAGTCTGCAAGTGCACCAAATTTCCTGAATTTTCGTTATGAACTTACGTACACTACATTACATGTGATGTTTTTTTTTTTTTTTTTTTTTCATAGAATATTTTGGTAGTAGTATGCCATGATGAAGTTTGGCAATGAATTGACTCTCATTATAGATTTTCTCTTGTGAGATTTAGGTGTGAAGTCTGCAAGTGCACCAAATTTCCTGAATTTTCGTTATGAACTTGTGAATTAGGTGTGAAGTCTGCAAGTGCACCAAATTTCCTGAATTTTCGTTATGAACTTACGTACACTACATTACATGTGATGTTTTTTTTTACACTGTTTATATAGGCCAGATTAACCTCTTTATTCCTTTTTTAAGGTTCATGCCAGTGACATAAGGGCAACAATTTGGACTACTGGATGTACGTTATTTTC